AGCTATATTAAATAACGAATATAGTACAATCAACTCGCGGTTGTGATAGCCCTGCTTGAAAGCCGTGGTATCTAGCATACTGTATACTAAAGAAATAATAACTGATGCGTGCTGCAATACCTATAGGCTATAGCCTTTTGACTATTACCTAACCTTACTGATTGAAAATACTTCGCATTAATCTTTAATCTTTATTCTTTAATAAGCAGCCATCAAAATATTGCCAGTTTGTTCGATCTTGATCTCCATCCTGAATCCATACACACGATTGTCAAGCAGAATGCACTCTTCTTCAGACCATTTGGCGCAATTTGAACTTTGCGCGGCATTGTCTGCTAACATTATTATGAATTGGTGATGACAACCTGGTTTGTATGTTAGCTCAGTTAGTTATTTGCTACATCATATCTATGGGGTTAAATTTCATGCACGCATAAATTATTTCACTATAAATTTATTATACATGTCACCACTCTTACCACCTCGACTAATAATGCTGTGGTAACTAACACCTTCAAGATAATTCAATTTATAGGCGTGCGGGTCGTCATGTATGATACCCGATACTATTTTTGCCTTTTTACGACTCGTCGGTAAATATAAAGATATACAAGCTTCAGTGAAGTAGCAATGCCAAATTGTATACGCGCAATCGCTCAATGCCAATGTATACTTGCAGAGTGGTTTTTGAAGAACGAGGCATGATCACAATATATATATATATATATATATATATATATATATATATATATATATATATATATATATATATATATATATATATATATATATATATACATATATAGAACAGGTGGGCAATTTGTCGACGCTGACCAAAAATAGCGGCTCATTTCTTCTTGAGTTGCCATTTTCGCGTCAAAGAGCAAAAATATAGACTTTCGAAGAATATTTTAGCTGTTTACTATCAAATATGTTTGTGAAACAGTTGATAATCTCACTGAGGAAGGCCAACAGTTTCTGAAAAGCTAAAGTACGTCGAAATCAGCGTTGGAATAGACTATATTTTAACCGGGGAAACATGAACTAAATGGATATTTACATCAACACTAAATTTCGCTCGTGCCTACAGAGCTAGTTGGATTAAAACAGATGTTAAGAAGTAAGTGAAAATGTGAATTTTGTGAATTATACTTTCATTAAAATGTTTCAGAAGGGCTGCTAATGTCAAACTACACGTGTGACAGAGCTGTCAGTATACCCATATTTCAATGTTTATGTTGAAATGACCTATCTTCTTTGAGGTATAGCTTAAAAATTAGGGTATGCTCATCACTTGAAACTAGCTTTAAATCAAAGTTTTATCTATAGTCTTTTTATTAGAATTGAAATCATTAATGGGAAAAATGTGCCAAAGGGTTGAAATTGCCCTTGTAAATGTGCACTATTTTTGACATGTTTGGGTTAGTATTTTGAAAAGGTGTTCTGGAAGGAAAATATGTCTTGAACAATACTGGTTGACCCTTAAATTATAACTAGTGTCATGTAAATCACAGAAAATTGAAAAAAATCTGGTCCATACACAATATTTTGGATTCTATAAGGTCCTGAATGGGGCTTATTTCAATGTTGAATCTGTTTACCTGGATAGTCAAGAATTTGACTATGCTCATCATCCAAAACCAGGTTTTTCTAATTGCTTTTTCACCTGGGTTTATGGCAATACCAGTTATGAGACTATGAAAAATGCGCACGGCACTTTTTTTGGACACTGAATATGGTGACATTTGATGTTGTCATATGTTGCCATCCTCTTATCATAACATAACTTAACTTATTTTAGTGAGTTTGTTAAAGTGTTGTGCTCACTATATGCCTGTGGTATGTAAGATTTATTCATGGCATTAGATGATAAATGTAGGTTCTGTTTTCTTTTATTTTTCGGTGATAGTATCTGTTCACTTGAGTGTTGGTATCAAATTTTGGTCAAGTTTCAATTATTATTTCACATTCCTTTATTCAAATATCCAAATAAATGGAATATGACATCAAGCTGGAGGACTAGATCCTGTTTCCAAACTTGTTTTTGTAAAAATAGAAAATAACAACTTATTGTATGTTGTTCTAATAAAAACTAGTGTTTGTTATATGCATATTTAATTTTTAAAATTACATTTCATTCTTTGTTAAAATGTGTACCAGGAATACTTTAATCTTTCAGATCAACTAACAATACTTTTATAACTTATATAGCCAAGTGTTCTATCTATTTCTATTCAGATTAGACAACTGATTGGTAAAATATTAGATTAAAATTTTTCAAAAAAATGAGCTTGCCTATTTTCAAAGCATAAAAAGCAACAAAATAAAGCAAAAATACTTATTTTTAATTTAAAATCTTTCAACTGTACAGCTTAATGTTTCCACTAAATATTACAAAGTTTTCGTTCATTAAAATGTTGTTTTATCAGCTTTAAAACCAGATAAACCCACGAAGCACTCCTAAATATCACTCGCCATATTGATTTTCTTCGCGCATGCTCAGACAAATTGCCCACCTGTTATACGTAGCTATCTCAGCCTAGTCCCAGGCTCTCTCTCTCTCTATTCGCTGCTTTGATATATTTAATTAAATGAGTCTTAAAAGTTTTATGCCTGGTGTGCTGTGCGGAACGCTTCAGCGAGAGAGCCTAGCAGATTTCGGTAAAATGGTCCCTGATTTCAAAAAAGTGGTCCCTGGCCTGGTTACCAAACATACCGCATTTGTAAATAGAAAATGTTATGGAAATTTCCTTTGCATTTATAATTAAGTCATTAGTTCTGCTCTAATGCTGTCGGAACAATGAAATAGGCTACGTTTCGCTACCATACGGTCAGAATGGAATAACGGACTAAATATGACTCGTGTTTACTAAAATATAAAGCCATATTAAAATTATGAAAATTATGCCGAGTCTCCGACTAAAAATGTTTTTACAACACAGTCATGTCAGGCAAATATTTCCAATCTCCTCAGCTACTTAAAACTGTCAACTAGAAAGCGTAGTTGTGTATACCAGTATCATGGTCTAGTGTTGATCACAACTTGCGAGTATATAAATATCATCAACGATTATACGACCATTGCTCAGACTCAGCATCGTAAATTTGTATATATTTTTTAATTGAGTACATTTTAATAGGCTACAGTTTGAATTTGGTTATGTAGACATCGAACATGATCAACGAACATTGTCGTATTTATACAAGGTTATTTGTATATATAAATTTTCCGCCATATTAAAAATACTGAAATCTGCTAGGCGTTCTGAAGCACCTTTAGCGGTGACGTCACACCTAGGTCCCAGTCTCGTACTACATCCACGTTTTTTCTCGCTCTTGCTTCAGAACGACTGGGACTAGGCTGCACAAACATCATATTCACCTGAGTACATATAGCACCAACACACACAAAAAATAGGTATAAAATTATCCTCCGACAACTCCAGCAAATCGGTTTGCAAGAACTTTTCGCGGAAAGTTGTCAATCTGTACAATATGTATTAATGTATAGTAATACAGTGTGTATAAAAAAAACTGAACCTTTCAAATTCAAATTAGCTATAACGTATTGTAGTAATTTGACAGCTCTAATTGCTTTGAATTAATGGTTGGGTAAGAACACAAGGTCTTGTACTCATAGGACGAAACTCAAAGAAATAAAAATTAGAAAATTTAAAAGTTTGTAAGAGTTTTGTCGCATGAGTACAAGATCTTGTGTCCTTACCCAACCAAATTACTACAATACGTTATAGCTAATTTGAATTTGAAAGGGTTCAGTTTTTTTTATACATGCACCCTGTATAACAAACCTTTGAAACGCTTGTCCACCAGGACGCGACCTGAACAGTTAAATATACAGGCCACAGGGTGTCTAAAAAAACGCTATGGAAATTCAACAGGTTGTCGGGCATCATAAACGTGGCTAAACAATCTAATTTTTACCTAGGACGAAAGAACAGTTATTTAGCTCTTCAATGATACCTTTCTTAAACCGCAACGATGAGAAATGGCCACAAACTCGTCAAATAAAAATTGCAGGTCGAAATCGCATTCCTCCACCGTTGGGAACTGCATGGAAAACAAAACATAAACAATTCCCTACAGGGGATTAAAGTTGAATGTTAAATTATCTAAAATGTATTTATTTGTATTTGTATTTGTATTTAAAAAAGAACCTCTGTTAGCTAACGCTAGTTTACACGAGGTCTTAAATATAGGATTACACTACAAGATAAAAAGTCTATATAAATCTAGGTATTCGTAAAAATTACTATAAAGTACGTTTAAAGGTCAAATAATCAATTATAATTATATAAACCAGTCTAGCTGTTTAAGAACAGCAGACTTAAACATAGATTTCGAAGGTACGAGCTTAATAGTACAGTCTAAATTGTTCCATAGAGCGATAGCTCTAGTTCTAAAAGCCCGAGCTAAAAAGGTTTTCTTCTTTAACATATAGGTTTCTCTAACAACATATTATCACTTCGACACCTCGACGAAAATCTTGTATTGTGTTGATGCGTAATTTCAAATGGTTTAAAATTCACCTAAATTGCATTTGGTTCACCAGAATAAAGTACATTATGCAATGCCATTAAGGTTCGGACATGAATCCTTTGTCTCACTGTTAACCAACCTATTTCATCATGGAGATTTTCCCTAGATATTTCATCAACCTTATATCCTAGGATCAATCTGGCGGCCTTGTTCTGAAGTTTTTGTAAATTATTAATCGACTCTTGATTTTGCGCAGATCCCCAAACCACAGTATAGGGAAACAACCAGTAGGGCCACTTAGGGGAGAGAAAAGTGGGAATTATTTAAGCTAGATCCCAGGTGTTTTACGCGGCCAAACTCATTACTCTGTAATACAATTTTATAGTGAACTGCTGCCATTTACTGGCTGCCAATATGTAAATTAGGTTGGCAGCCAGTAAACAATGTGGACACTTTTTTACACTGAGTGGCCCTACTGTAGTTTTCATATACTGTGCCCAAACCGTACAACAATAGTTCAATTTTGACAGTATGAGTGCCTCAGCGATAATCTTTAAAACTTTTGATGGAATATATCTGCAGAACTTGAACAGTAAGCCAAGAGCTTTGGAACAATCTTTAAGTAGATCTTCACAATGCTGCTTCCAACTTAAGTTCTCGTCAACCTGGACGCCAAGGAGTTTTACACATGGAAGTTGTTCAATGATTTTATATTTAATGGATAAGTTAAGCGATGGAGCTGATTTAATCTTCTGCCGACTTCCAATAAGGATACTATTTGTTTTATCAGTATTAAGAACAAGACGATTCTTCGAGACCCATAATTCAACTTTAGATAAGTCGAGTTGAAGGTTATCTGATATGAGTCTGGCGTTGTGTCCAGATTGGAACGGAGTGCTATCATCAGCGTACAAGGTGATATCAGCTGTAGTTAAGACTGTTGGTAAATCATTAACAAACAAACTGAAGAGCAGTGGGCCAAGACAACTACCCTGTGGCATCCCACAAGTCATCTCGATCGGATTAGAAAAAGCACCATTGATATATACGGTTGAGGTTCTCCCACTTAAATATGACTTGATCCAGTTAATCGCATTATCTGAAAAGTTATAACATTTCAATTTCAGAAGCAGCAAATTATGATCAATCAGGTCGAAAGCAGCTGAAAAGTCCAACAAAGCAGCACCAGTAAGCATACCATTCTCCATGTTGTCAAGGCAACTGTCAGTAAGATGTAAAAGTGCTGATTCAGTGCTATGTTTGATTCTATATGCATCTTGATTCTTGAGCATTAAGTTATGTTCGGAGACATAGTGACAGATTTGTTTATGCGCAAATTTTTCGTGCAGTTTACTTAATACATTTAGAAGACTGATGGGTCGACTATTTATATCTTCAAAAGGCTGTTTCTTATCTTTGGGAATTGGGTGTAGTTTAGCTACTTTCCATTGATCAGGAAATATTGACTTCGCATATAAACAGTTAAAAATGTATCTAATAGGCTCCGCTATGATATTTGAGGCAATTCTAAGTAAAAAATTATCAATGCCGTCTACGTCTGTCACTATAGTATCTGGAAGCTTAGCAAGGCAGCTGTGAACGAGCTCAACTCGTCAATGTTCGTCTTAGTGAGACAATAAGAACGTCATTATTGCATTAAACATGGTTCATAACCACTGCATGAATAGAGAACATTCGTAATCAAAACGTTTTACGAAACAAATACTTTGCAGCATGCAGGCTCGCGTTGCTTTTGGATTGATTAACTTTGCATAATTAATGTATTTTCAATTCTCAACGGTGGAAGAATGTGATTTCTACCGACAATTTTTATTTGACGAGTATGTGGCCATTTTTCATTGTTACGGTTTAAGACAGGTATCATTGAAAAGCAAATAACAGCTCTTTCGTCCTATGTAAAAATTGAATTGTTTAGCTAAGTTTTTTCGGATGCACAACAGCCTGTTGAATTTCCATAGCGTTTTTTTGAGGCACCCTGTATAAATACAGAATCTTTCGCCGCATGGTTTAAGACAGTGTTCATGTCATAATTTAAATTAAATTTGGCCTTAACCAATATATATATATATATATATATATATATATATATATATATATATATATATATATATATATATATATATATATATATATATATATTTAGTAACAACCAATCAAACGACGTCGACGTTACTTAAATTAGACAGCCCGAATCAGCTCACCGGCCATAATATGGACGTCGTGACCACACAGTGCGAAAGCTTTTGACTAGTTTTTCGAAAGGCTTGACATTTAGGTTATTTCTTACATCAATCTCGCGCAGAATAACTTAAAAACATTACCGTGCGGTTTCTGTGATTCCGTCAGTCCTGAACTGAGACTGCCGTGTTTTCTTGCAGATTTTTATCAAAAATTTTGAGAGTGATAACGAGTGTGAGTATTGATAGTAACCATACTTTTGTTTTTCTAAAGCTTTTAATGAACCTAAAGCCTGGCGCACACAATGCGATTTTAGTCGGCCAATAAAAATCGTTTGACTAAAACTAACAAAATCGTTGTGTGTGCTGTGTCATTTTTAATCGGTTTTTGTTGTTCGATTTTAATCGGACAACATCAAAATGTTTTGATATTATACGATTTTTATCGGTGGAATTTTAAGTATAACCAATCAGATTTCATGCTGTGATCACGTGCTTGTATTTATTTGGCAACATGGCGGCTACAGTTCAGGGAGCATATTTTTTCGTAATTGTGTGCGGAGTATACCGGATGTATATTGGTATGTCAAACGATTTTTATCGGCTGACTAAAATCGCATCATGTGCGCCAGGCTTTATGTACTTTGAGAGTAGAGCCTGGGGGTACTTTTAACAGTTAATAACTTAAACATTTATAGTAATTAGGGTAAATAAACATCTACCCAATTTTTCTTGAAAGTAAATTTTTAGATCCTGAGTGTATGTCTATTAGTAAACGTCTTAAATATTTATAGAGATTAGGGTAAATAAATTTTCCTTTAAAGCCACTATTTGATATGTTGTCATCGGTCAATGAATTCTTTAGCTCGCTAATTTGAATATTGAGCATGGTTCTTATCTGCAGCAGTTATTTACTGCAAAGCCTCTACCTTGCACAACTACATGTATTTTAATATTGATTATTACATTCGTAATACCTTGTTGTAATACCCTGATGTAATATCTTGTTGTTATGTGTTAGGATATTTTCGTAAAATATATCGCGGGTAAGGCAGCACTAGCCCTTGTGTATACCTTATATTATTATGTTGCATTCATGCTGTTTTCATCCAGAAATTAACACCACCGTGATGGTATTTTACTACGGGGAGAAAAAACCCCAACACAATTCTCTATGATCATGATTTTCCATATACTAACTAAACTGAAATAATAATGCATTTTTGACAAGCGGGTGAAACTCCAGCTGGAATTCACCGTGTTAGTAGTGTATGAATTTTGTCTCTAGAATAACAATTTATGTTAGGGCAATAAAACAGATTTGTCCGCATCCGCATTTTATCCATTTTGTCCGCATTCGCATTTTATCCTTTTTGTCCGCATCCGCATTTTATCCCTTTTGTCCCTCTGTCCGTCCGTCTGTCCGTTCGTCTGTCCGTATTCGCGTTTTATCACAACCCTTGTTAAAATTTCCTTTTCAAAGGAAATTTAATTAGGCTTGATGAAGGAAATGTGAAGAAAATTTAAAATTGAAGGGGAGGCGGTGAGCTCAGCAAATTTTTTCTCGTATGCGCATGGCAGGTTTTAGGTATATTTATTAACTTTGCCGGCATAAAATTACACAGAGTGGCCGGGACACCGCAATAGCTTATTGCCAATTACTGCGGGCCCAATTGGATACAATCCGACAAACAACAGACATTCAACTGGACAGGCTAACAAACTTACGAACAAACAATAATAGTTACTAAAAGCAGCAGGATATCGGATATGTAAGACTTCGTACAGAGTTACATTTCAGGCATATAGTTTTAAATGTTCGAGGATTATCGGGATTATAATTAACTTCTAAAGATTTGTGATAGTATTCCAGTAAGGCTGATCTAAAGGAATTGAAGCAGTTCGTGTCATAATTTAGTTCATCTACGAGAGAGTTCCACATTCGACACGTTCTGACAAAAAACGACTGCTGATAGGTATTGGTTTTACATTTGCAGACGACATATTTAGCGTTATTACTTATCATGTCGTTCTTTGCATAATATGAATGTCAGGAATAGCAGACATTTCTACCAAACCGTGTGTGATTTTGAAGAAGAAGATTAGGTCTAGGTATTCATGCCAGTAGGATACGGGAAGAAGATGCAAGGATTGTAATCTTGTTTTATAGTCTACGTCTGTCGAGAATGGCAAGTATATATATTAATATATTAGCTTTGACACTAACTTAAATAACTTTGTAACTTATCATTTCAGGTAACCCGTCATTTTCGTGAAAATCTATGGGGTCGTGCACAGCGAATACTTGAAACACATGGTTTTAAACCAGTACCATATTGTTCACCTCGGAACAAAAGATTACAAGCAGACCTGGAGATTCAAGACATGTTGTCTCAATTTGGAACTCTCATTTTGAGTCAGGTTTATATGATGCTTTACCGCTTTAGTACTTTTGATGTTGCTTTAAGCGACGAAATCAAGAGAATCTACCCTCGTGTTGTCATCGGTTTGGCAATTGAGTTCGTATTTGCTTGGCTGTCGACCTTTATTCAAGTTTGGTTGTATAACATTGGCATAAAGACTATATGGTTTCGATACTGGTTACGACATGTACTGGCCAATGGAATAATCATGGTTGTAGCTGTATCATATTTCTCTCAAGTTTTGTTGAGTGTTTTCAAATTTCGTATGGAAAGTTCGATTCATGATGAGTATACTCTACGAAACTGCACAATGCCTTTTACTTACAAGTAAAAACAAAGATCACGACTTAAAGCAATACTGAATTAACGAGTTAGTATATCAAGGGGCAGATTGTACAAATAAATCTCGATCGATAGGAATATCGTAACGTATATGGCGTTGATCCGTGTATAAACCATGCAGTATATACGTAGGTCATATGCAGCGCGAAATTAAACCTGAGTGAAAAATAATCCGCGCGAAAAGGTTTCTTGGTGTAACGATTTGCGGAATCTAATTGGTCAGTATAAGCGTTTGCCACTAATACAAAATACTGAAAGTCAGACATGCAAATTAGCCAACTCCATATAAACTTATGTCTAATACATGTATACAGCTATTTCAATTAAGGTTGTCCCCGAGCAAAGCGGAAAAGTGGAATACGAGCGCGAAAGGCTGCTGGGAATCGCTAAAAAAATAATGAATTTTTTAACGATTGCCAGCAGCCTTTCGCGCTCGTATTCCACTTTTCCGCTTTGCTCGGGGACAACCTTAATTGAAATAGCTGCATGTATATATTGGATTGTTGATTCGTTGCTTCTTACATAAAGAAACTATTTTTCTTTTGGGAATTCGGTGAACAGGTCATAATTGAGCACAGGGGTACACACGTGGGGGTGTGGGGGGAGGGGGGTGTTACGTATTATATAGACACCCATAATAGTGGGAAATGTCCAAAATGTCGGTCCCAAACGAACAATTTTGTCGGTCCCGATCGTCTGGTATAAACATTACGGAAACTGATTGTTTTCCTTTCGTGTCCAAATTAATATATTTTGAAAGGTTATATAATGCCTATTGCCAGCATATTTGAATCAGCATCGTTTCCGTGCACTATACCGACCTGGTGTACCAATTTATTTGAAAAGGACCGACTGACGAGAGAGGTAAATGAGACTCTGAAAATGCCAGTTCCGACGATCTAGAGACTTTAATTTTGCAAACATTTTTCGACCTTTGCACCTTCTACACAACCACCTCTCACTAGTATCACAGAGATATATAAACGTAATCATATACAGAAATATTGATCGCAGATGGTTGGCCTGGCACACTAAAGAAATGCCATTTGGGAGATTCGAAATACTATACTATAGACTATGTCAATATAATTCCCCCTAATAAATTATACGCCTCACTTCCAAATGGAAACACGTAAAAAGTCGGTCCCGAAATATTTTACACCCCCCCCCTCAATTATTTTGGGATGTTCGCCCCTGACTATGAGCAAACAACTTAAGCCGTAGTAAATTTAAATTTACTGTCATTTCCACTAACGCATATCCCTCTCAAATATTGAAGACATTCAACAGTCACATGTCAATATCAGTTATTACAAGTACAAACAAAGATCACGACTTTTAGCAATAAAGAATAGTGAGTTAGTATATAGCTGCAGGACCAGATTGTACAAAGTTCCGATAGCGCTATCCACAGGATAGCGATTTTGTGCAAATCACTGAATACGGACGCAGCTGGTTTTATAAAGGAAATTCTTTACATTTTGTTGGTTGAATCTGAATTATTGTTATGATTTGTCCAATCCAGTGGTGCCTAAATTACTCTGAATTTGTACTTGTAATGAGTAAAAGTAGAAGTAATTAACAATAAGTTATAAAACGACTTGAGTAAGAGTAAAAAGTACTGGAGACAAAACGTGCTTAAGTAAAAAATTCAAAGTATCTTTAAAAAATACTTGAAGTAAATTAAAAAGTAAAAGTACTATTGTTTGTAGCATGGGGGGGGGGGGACTTCTCCAATGAATTGACATACAAAAGACACCAAACAGAACACGCATTATATGTGTGCACCTGTATACAATATTTCACAGCGTGGTCTACTTTTCAGACGCCATGAAAATATAAGAAATGCATTAAATAAATAATGCTTATATCAAGCCACAAGCGAGAGATCCCATACGCATGTAGAGGTCCTATTACCTATCCCAAAATTAAAATAAATCAGGAATAAATAGCGTAAAATTAAACAAAAGTTTGAAAGTAACGAAATACGTCGCAACAAAATGAAAATATAAGTCCCTCATTTTATCATTATTCATTCTTTAGACAAAATCTGAATAATGATAAAATAACGGACTTGTTTCCAGATCCTTATATGTCAAATTATGACTTAAGATTACCACTTAAATTTAATAATTATGTCTGCAAAACGGGCCGCTTCAAACAGTCCTTTTTTCCCCAAATGATTTTTAAAAAGAATAGTAGTATTATAACCTAGTTAATTTAGTAGCTATTTAGCCGTCACAATTTATTCTTATTGTAATATAGTTGTAGTATAATATTTTTTAGTCATAACTTCATGTTGCTAAGAACTTCTGTAATTTAAGCTTTGGGTTACAAAAGAGTTCATTTTTAATAAATAATAATAATAAAACGTTAATTCTTAAAACGACTTCGTTCCAAGTCATACCTAATTTTAAGAATTTTTTATCACTGCAGTTTAGCCGAGCAGAAGCACGCCCTGAAAATTTTTGAACACACCCTTATAATAATGTGTAACAAAAAAGCAGGCTACAGTTCATATTCAAAAATGCCAAAACGAACATACACTGCACATCAATCAGGGAAGTTTTGGGGCCCAGGACGAACTTTGACTTAGGGGCTCTCGTGATCGGTGATTCCATGTTCTAACACTTTGTTTAGGGGGTCCGGGGGCATCCCCCGGAAAACTTTTGAAATCTGAGGCCCCAGAAATGGCCAAATCCTGCATTCTGGAAGTCTAGTTGGCAGTTATATCTATGCGGTATATTTCACTGCAATTCTTTACTTGGGCCTCCCTTTAACTCGGGTCCCAGAGCAAATTGCACCCCTCTGGGCGGCCTTGACAGCACCTGCAGTTACGACTATCTATAACAGCTTAATTTCATAATAACATGACTGAAGAAAATAAATATTTTCCTCTTGGCAAATGAAAGGCGGCTTACGGGCTTTGGCGTGACCAATCTCTAGAAGAGTTCCAGGGACATGCACCCACAGACAATTTTGTAATCTAGGAGGCACTATAAAAGGGCATCTCCTGCAATGCGCGGGGACATTCTATATAATTCTGAAAATTATACAGCAATTACAAAATCTTAAGTAGCATTCACTCCATTTTCCAAACTCATAAAGATATCTTTGGTGAGAGACTTTGTTCATCTGATGAATCATAAGTATGTTATTAGTGCGGACGTTCAATAATTTGGCAGTCATCACTTCAATTTCAATTAAATCATTCTCATTCAAAATGTTTCGCCGGATTAGTTATGCTCATTAACATTGTCTTATTTTCTTGTGTTAATGAACAACTTATCAAAGCAAATTTTATCACTGCACATTTTACATTTTATCACTGCACATTTTACTTTTATCACTGCACAAATTGGCCGGTTATCACTGCACACTAAAATTAGGTATGTTCCAAGTAAAAGTACTCCAGAAAAAATTTACTTTGTTGCATGCTAACTTCTCAAAAATAGTACTCAAGTACAGTAACGAAGTCAGATATTTGGTCCAATCAGGTATTTCGTCAACAATAACTTGCGCAGTGCTTTGCCCATATTTTTCTACGATTTCAAAGGATGTTGTATCGTCAACGAAATTCGCATTACCGTTTGATGAATTTAATTCTAAGTTATCAATCATCACTAAAAAAGCGATGGCTCTAATTTAGTTCCCCTGGGGTACGCAGGCCAGAATTTCATCCCAACATGAGAAGATGTCGTTCTACAATTTAACTCTTTGCTTTCGATCGCTTAGAAAATTGTGAATCCATCTGTAGTGGATGAAAAGAAAACGCAACCGTGCTGGTCAGATCGAATGAGCTTCAAAACAGCAGGTTAGTACACATGCTCTTGTACAAGTCTGGTCGCTTTCTGTTTTTCGCTGGTTGCTTTCCGTTTTTTTGCTTTGTATTACTCATTTTATGCTTCGATATTAAACCTCTCAATATCGACTAAACACGAACCTTGAGTTGCTATCTTTGTTTCGATAGCGATAAATATAGCGGGACAAAAAGCGATCTCGCTTTGCTGTAAGGAAATATATAGAGATGGTAGACATTCCCACCTTGCTTAATTTAACACAGGCCACTCATGTAAAGAAAAAATATCCTTATTCCAAACAATAATTAACAATGGGTTGGATTCAATTATTCCGCTACGTAATAAAACTGTCAGATTAAATGAACCTCCATGGATGAACACAACATTGAAAGGTCTTATATAGAAACGACAAAAAGCCCTCAACCAGGAAAGTACAACAGAATTTAAAAGGCTGATGAATCAAATCAACCGCGAAAGGAAAAAAATGTCTGGCAACATATTACGAAAATAGCGTTCACCATTTAAAACAGTAATTACTGTAACATCGAATGCTGTTCTTCAAAACCTTCACAAACTTAATCCCAAAAAGCTCATGGTCCGGATGGCATACCGTCGTGGCCCCTAAAAGAAAACGCAGATCTATTAGCTGGCCCGATAGCGGCAATTTTGAACTGTTCATATCGGGAATGTACCCTATCGCCAGTTTGGAAGAAGGCGGACGTAGTTCCAATACCGAAAGAAAAGCCCATCCAGGATATCAATCGTCAGTTATGCCCTATTTCACTTTCACCTATTCTATCGAAATTTGCAGAAGAATTTGTTGTAATGATTTATGTGAAGCCAGCAGTGATGGAATTGATCGATAGTAAACAATTTGGGATGGTGCCGGATAGTTGTACGACATATGCTCTTATAAGCATGCTACACACTTGGAATAAGGATACGGATGGTAACGGATCAACAACTCGACTTATGACGTTTGACTTCCGTAAAGCGTTTGACTTAATAGACCATAATATTTGATGGTTACTGAAACGTTACCATGAAGAACTTGCCCCTGTTATTCATAACATCGATCATATGCTCTAGCATCTCCCAGGCTAAATACCCAACCCTATATAAACACGCATTGGTCACCCCAGTACCTAAAATATACCCTCCTAATGACATGGATAATGATTTCCGCCAAATCTCAGTATTACCGCAATTGGCTAAAGTCTTAGAAAGCATCCAACTTAAATTAAACAAAGGGGACCTTAAGATCAAGGACAATCAACATGCATTTACACACGGTAGATCAACTGTATCTGCACTGGCGAGCATCACCCAAAATTGGTTCAGCAAGACTGAAAACTCACGTGATGGAAGAATGGGTATCCACGCCCTATTTATTGACTTTTGCAAAGCATTTGATCTGGTGGACCACGGATTGCTTTTAAAGAAGCTCGCCAAAATGAACGTGTCGAAAAGCTTCTGGCTATGGACACGGAGCTTTCTAGAAGGGAGGAGTCAGCAAGTAAAATTACAAGGTGCTCTGTCATCTATGAGGCCTTGCCCTTCCGGAGTCCCCCAGGGATCTTTTATATCACCAACATTGTTTAATGTTCATGTGGATGACCTCGAAGACTGCATTCCCAATTATCTGGACATCAATGCGCACAAATACGCAGATGACTGCACTCAAGATGAAGTGATTCCATACGGTTCTACTAGCAACATGCAAAAGGTGCTCGATGCAATAAACGACTGGGCACATAGAAACAAGATGAAACTTAACGCGAAAAAGACGAAAGACATGTGGATCTGCTTTAAAGCTGCAATTCCGGAACCACCACATCTTAAAATTGGCGATGATACAATTGAAAGAGTTTAGTCATTCAAGTTGCTAGGTCTTTGGATTGACAATACCCTTAAATGGAACACCCACATTGACGAAATTGCAAGGAGGGCAAACAAACGCTTATTCTACCTACGAGAGTGTCGTCGAGCAGATCTACCAACTAATGTGGGTTTGACGTGCTATGAATCCAAATTAAGACCGGTTTTGGAATATGCTGCCCCAATTTGGGGTGGCCTGCCACAATACCTTACTGACGAACTGGAAAGTATCCAGAATAGAAGCCTGAAAATTTTGGGTCTACCTCCTGATTCTCTTCAATCTCTAGAACAACGTCGGGATAAACTTTCAATTCGCGAGTACGAGAAAATCATTAATGACGAAACACACCCATGCAGGAAGTACATACCAGACATGGTGACGAACAAGTATGACCTGAGAACACCAAAAACTCTTCCCGGAATTTTCTCATACACTAAAAGGCATGAACTATCGTTCATTCCCAGAACAAACTCATTATTATAGACAATATTTTTATAACTATTCCTACAATTTTTATCTGTACATATAACTACTAGACTACTACTTAGATTTTTACTGTAAATCCATTGTATTTTTACACTAAAGATGGATCAATAAAACTATTATTATTATTAAATATTTTATCGGAGAAGTTAACAAAGTATAACATACCGAGGTCTGTAATGCTTTGGATCTTAGACTTTCTGACTGACCGACAACAGAGGGTAAAACTCAGCCAAGATTGTCATTCCGAATGGGGCAAGGTCCCAGCCGGCGTCCCTCAAGGCACAAAGCTCGGCCCGTGGTTATTTTGTATTATGATTAATGATCTAAGTGTTAAGGACGTTAATGATTTATGGAAATATGTTGACGACTCATCCTTGTAAGTTGCGGTAGTCTTCCAACAACGAGCAAGTGGTCTAATGGTAGCGATATCGGACTGTAAAAGCCAATGTCGTGTATCAGGATCGGTTCGAGGACGGTTGAAATAATCGGGCTCGATCCCGGCTTCCACCGTAGCACCCGAAGGCTTTGAGTGGCACTAGATTACTAGGTCTAACGGCGAAAGCTTATGTTATATTGTAAGAAACAATATAGATATGTAATGTGAACGTTAATACTTATAGGAAACTATTATGAAATATATACATCGCTTTCATCTATGCCTCGTGTCTCTGTGTCTCTTCCCCGAATCCCGCTACCCAGTTCACTTCCGTCTATACGCACTTCCGCTACTAGAACACAACATCTCCCTTTTACTTTAGAATATGAAATATACTTATGCAAACAATCATGCACCTAAATTATGACCAAAATTCAATAGTTCTGGTTTAAATGTCAACCTAAACAATAGTACCAATATTTTAACAGTTAAGTTTCTTCGCGCAAGAACCGAGGTCTTCTTTGTACTCTTGCCGGATACCTTCGTGGAATATCTTGTGGCTGTTCGTTATTATCTTCATCGTCCGTTACATCGCTAGCGCTGTCGTCGCATTCCTGTTCATCAGCACTTTCGTCTTTCGAGTAAAATCTTTTGAAATGCGATACGTTTCTGGTGGTAGTGAGATCGTGTCTCGCTGCGGTTATCTTTGTGCCATTAACTTTCGTTACAGTCAAAGGTGTTGGATCAAAAACAGTACTAAATTTGTTTTTTCGTTCTTATTTCACCAAAACTTTCATTCCTACTTCGATGTTTGCTTTCCGAGCTCGTCGTCTTTTATCTGTATACTGCTGCGCTTTCGACTGCTTCTCTGACGTATTTATCTTAGCCTGTTTGTGTAAAATCTTGTAATCAATATCCCCCTCTTTTACAAAAGTTGGCATGTTCGTACGAACTTCGCGATTGAACAACAGTTGACTTGGTGCTACCCCGGTGGTATAGTGTGGTGTAGTTCTGTAAGCTAACAGAAAACCATGTAGCTCTTCTTTCCAATCCTTTCCTTCCATTTTCGCTGCTTTTACAGCCTTACCGAGGGGCTTCATGAACGACTCGGCTTCCCCATTGGCCTGTGGCCAATAAGGTGTTACAAGCCGGTGATTTATTCCGCGATTTCGCATGAATTTCTTCACTGCATCACTAGCAAACGGTGGACCATTGTCCGAGTAGATTTTAGTGGGAATGCCATGAACTGCGAAAATTCTGTCCAGGCGATTCGTGACGGCGCTGGCAGTAGTGGATTTCATTATTTCCACTTCTGGGAACTTTGAATATGAATCAATGACAACAAAAAGTGTTTCCCCCGTGGGAAATGGACCGCAAAAATCCATGTGAAGTCTATCCCATGGTTTGGAGGGCAATTTGTGTTGTTGAAGAGGCGGTGGCGGATCACCATGCCCGAGAGACTGGCATGCGTGACAATGCTTAATAAACTCTTCCGCATCTTTGTCAATTCGCGGCCACCACACTTTCGTCCTCAGGGCTTGTTTTGTTTTGACAATGCCCTGATGACCTTTGTGGGCATGTGTCATGGTTTCATTTCTAAGCCTTGTTGGAATGATCAACTTATTTGCACGGAGCAAGAGACTGTTTGGTGTGACAGCGAGTTCTTCTCTCACTGCATAAAAGGGATGATGCTTTGCCCAGACACCCGATTGGATACTTTCAATCGCTAATTGCATTTCTGGATCAACTGCAGTTGCTGCAATAATGGACTCGATACTCATGGCCTTGGGGATGGTGTTCTTCTCTATAAAATTGATATATTGTTCCGCAATGTCACAATGTTCAGTGTATACTACAGGTAGTGGTTGTCTAGAAAGTAGATCAGCAGGGTTGCCTTCGCCTTTGCGATATATTATATTAAATTTGTATTGTTGTAAGCGAAGAGCCCACCGTTGAATCCGAGCAGGTGGTTTGGATTTGGGTGAATAAATTACCTCAAGGGCTTTGTGATCGGTGCAAATTGTGAATTCTGCACCAATTAGGTACATGTGAAACCGTTCGCAACCCCAGACAACGGCTAAGGCCTCTCGTTCGGTTTGTGAATACCGTTGTTCAGTTAGAGTGAGTGACCTACTGGCATATGCTACATTATGCAAATTACCTGCTCTGTCAATGTTTGACAATATTGCTCCAAGACCTGTGGGGCTTGCATCGACTGTTAGACATGTTTTCTGATTTGGGTCATAAAAATGCATGATACAGTCTTTCTGTATAGCTTCTTTAATAGCAGCAAATGCTGCTGTGTGTCTAGGTGTCCATGCATAGGGTGTTTTGGCTACAGTAAGTTCTCGCAAGGGGGATGTAAGAGTTGAAAAGTTCTTGATGAATCTGAAACAATAGTTTGCTAGCGCTAGGAAACTACGGAGTTCTTTTGTGTCCTTTGGTTCCTTAGCATGCTTAATTGCATCAACTTTCCTTGGATCAACTTTTATGCCTGAATCAGTAAGGAGAAAGCCATAGAACCAAAGTTCTCTCTGATCAAATAGACATTTGTCATTATTTACGGTTAAGCCGGACTCGTCTAAGCGAGCAAATAACTGCTCTAACCGTAAATTATGTTCCTGTTGTGTTGACCCCCAAACAATTATATCATCCGCGATGTTACGAACTCCGTCTATCCCTCGAATGGCATTCTCGATAGCATGCTGAAATACCTCGCTGGCCGAGTTGATACCGAAAGGTAATCGTTTATAGCGAAACAATCCACGATGCGTAATAAATGTAGTAATGGACCTGGAACTCTTCTCAAGGGGAATTTGGTGATACCCAGCCTTCAAATCAATCTTACTGTATTTAATTGCCCCATTCATACTTTCCATCAGTTCGTCAACTGTAGGAATTGGGTGTTTTTCTCTTTTTATAGCTGTGTTTGCTTGGCGGTAGTCGCCGCATACTCTTACTTCATTGGGGTTTCTGGGTTTTGGTGCAAGAACTAGTCCACTCACCCAGTCAGTGCTCTCATCAGATACAGGCTCAATTATATCTTTTTGTAAGTAATCGTCAAGCCAGGTGTCTAACTGTTTGCGTAAATGAAATGGAACACGCCTGTTCGTTTGGGCAACAGGGGGTACATTGGTATTTATGTGAATCTTTTGTTCATGCCCCTTTAGTTTACCAATTCCTGTAAATACATTAGGGTGCCTACCTTTCAATAGGTTTTCTTTTCTTTTACTCGCATCCAAATCACAGCTACTCGTATCAGTTCCAGAGTCCGACTTGACAGCCGATACTTTCGACACAGAATTAACATTCATGGTAATCAAACGCAAATTAGTAGACGTCTCACAACCGAGAATTGAAGTAGTGCCTTGAGTTCCCTTTGTGACATAAAATGTAGCGGCAGCAACACGACGCTTTGAGTCAACTAGAACTTCAAACTTTCCTTTCAACTCAACTGGTTCTGAAGAGCCAAACGCATAGATTCTAGTTTTAGTTTTTCGTAAAGAGATTTGGTCCTTTGAATTTGTACAGAGAAACTCATAGTCCTTTTGTGTCAAAATGTTCACTGAAGCTCCGGTGTCAATCAAAAACTCTACTTTCACCCCATTAATTTTGAGTTTTGTCATGGGTGGTTGCTTCACTTTCTTGGCTCTCGAAACAGCAAATATATCCTCATTGCTATCACTGTCGCTTACTTCCGGTTCACCTTGTACTGTTGGCTCAGTAGAGAGTGGTTGCTGTTGCCGATTTTGGTTCAAAGCATTCAACTTGTTTGCCTTCGATTTATATTGGTCCTGAGGCATTCGAGGTTTTCGAGAGATTGGTTTTTGTTCAGACTTACAAACTCGAGCGAAATGTCCAGTTTTTGAGCAATTATGACAGGTCTTGCCTGCAGCGGGGCAGGGCCTGCCTTGGTGGGGGTACGTCCCTCCACAATTATAACAAGTTTGTGCTTGTTTACCTTTTATATCCCTTGACGAAAAATCTCGTCTGGTGTTTTGATACACAGCCTCCTGACGGTGTTGCTTTTCCATTTCTTCAGCATGGTGATCAGAAATTTCCAGTGCTCTCGCGTATTTAATCAAATCATCCAGCTTGGGGTCATCCCGAAATGCTTTCCTTCTGAGTCGAC